TGGCATATATTTGGGCATAATAGCTTCTAATAATTGCTTTAATTTCTTCCTCATTGGTGGTGAATTCACACTTTTCATTTTTGATACTGGTAATTTGGTTTTCTTGTTTTCTTTGCTTTTAATGAAATTGACCAATGATTTGTTTATTTTATTGATTTTTTCCTAAAACCAGCCTATGGTTTTATTTATTAGTTCAACAGTTTTCTTAGTTTCAACTTCATTAATCTCTCTTTTGATTTTCAAGATTTCCAAGTTGGTGTTTAACTGGGGATTTTTAATATGTTCTTTTTCCATTTTATTTAATTGCGTGCCTAATTCATTGATGTGCTTTTTTTCCTCTATTTTATTGATGTAAGTATTAAGAGATATAAATTTCCCCCTAAGTTCTTCTTTGGCTGCATCCCATACATTTTGATACATTGTTTCATTGTTGTCATTCTCTAAAGTGAAATTACTAATTGTTTCTATGATTTGTTCTTTGACCCATTCATTCTTTAGAATGAAATTGTTTAGTTCCTAATTAATTTTCAATCTATCTTCTTGTGGCCCTTTATTTTCGGCAATTTTTATTATATTGTCATCTGAAAAAAAAATGAATTTAATGTTTCTGCTTTTCTGCATTTGACTGTGAGGTTTTAATGCCATAATGCATGTTAAATTTTTTTTGTATGTAAGTGCCATGTACCATGAGAAAAAGTTATATCCCTTTGTATTCCTATTCAATTTTCTTCAGATGTTTATCAAATCTATTTTTTTAAAATTCTATTCACCTCAAAATTTTTCTTATTTATTTCTTGGTTAAATTTATCTAGTTCTGAGAGGGCAAAGTTGAGATGTAGTTCTGCTGTTTATTTCCTCCTATAACTCATTTAACTTCTTTAAAATTTTGGATGCTATACAATTTGGTGTATCTATGTTTAATATTGATATTAAATCATTATCTACTATACCTTTTAGCAAGACATAGTTTCCTTTGTAATCTCTTTTAATTACATTTATTTTTGCTTTTGCTTTGTCTGATATCATGATTGTTATCCCTGCTTTTTTTTTCTTTTAGCTGAAGCTGAAGCTTAATAGATTGTGCTCCAGCTTCTTGCCTTTACTCTGCATGTTTCTCTCTGCTTCAAATGTGTTTCTTGTGAACAACATACTGTAGCATTCTGGCTTTTGATCCATTCTACTATCCACTTCCATTTTTTGCATGACTTCAGCCCATTCACATTCACAGTTATGATTACTAACTTTGTAGTTCCCTCCATCCTAATTCTCCTGTTTATCCTTCTCTCTCTCTCTCTCTCTCTCTCTCTCTCTCTCTCTCTCTCTCTCTCTCTCTCTCTCTCTCTCTCTCTCTCTCTCTCTCCTTTCACCCCATCCCTCCTCATCAGTGTTTTGCTTCTTACCACTGCCTCCTTCAATCTTCCCTCCCTTCTATGAGTCCTTTGCCTTCTTTTAACCCCTTCCCCCCTACTTTGCTAACGGGTAAGGTAGATTTCTATACCCAACAGAGAGTGCATGCTATTCTCTCTCTGTGCCAATTCCAATGGGAAATTCCAATTCCAAAGCTTTGCCCACCAAACCCCCCACATCTTTCCTGCCCCCATAACAGTCCTTTCACACCTCTTTTTGTAAGGTAATTTATTCCATTCTACCTCTCCCTTCCCTCTTCTCCCAGTTAAATTCTTTCTCATTCCTTAAATTTATTTTTATATCATCCCATCAAAATCACCCTCTCTATATAGACTCCTTCTAATTTCCATAATAGTAATAAAGTTAAGAGTCACAAGTATCATAATTGCACATGTATAACATATATCAGACTGCTTGCCATCTTGGGGAGGGGAGATTGGAGGAAAGGAGGGGAAAAAAATTTGGAACTCAAAATCTTATAAATGTTGAAAACAAAAAAAAGTTACAAGTATCATCTTCCAATGTAAGAATGCTAACAGTTTAACCTTATACACTCCTTTATGTTTTCTCTTTTCTGTTTACCTTTTTATGCTTCCCTTGAGTATTGTATTTGAAAATCAAATTTTCTAGTCAGCTCTGTTATTTTTGTCTGGAGTGCTTGGAAGCTCTCTATTTCACTGAAAACCCACTTTCCCTCAAATGGTTATACTCAACTTTACTAGGTAGGTGATTTTTGGTTGCAATCCCAGCTCCTTTGCCTTCCTGAATATCATATTTCAAGTACTCCAATCCTTTAATGCAGAAGCTGCTAAATCCTATATAATCCTGACTATGGCTCCACAATATTTGAATTATTTTTTTCTGGCTGCTTGCAATATTTTCTCCTTGACCTGGTAGCTCTGGAATTTGGCTATGATATTCCTGAGAGTTTTCACTTTCAGGAAGTGATTGGTAGATTCTTTTGATTTATATTTTATCTTGTTCTAAGACACCAGGACAGTTTTCCTTTTTAATTTCTTAAAATATGATGTCCATGCTCCTTTTATTTATCTTGGCTTTCAGGTAGTCCAATAATTCTTAAATTATCTCTCCTAAATCTATTTCAAAGGTCAATTATTTTTCCAATGAGATATTTCATTCTCTTCTATTATTTCATTCTTTTGATTTTTTTTTGATGTCTCAAAGAGTGATTAGCTTCTACTTGCCTGATTCTAATTTTTAAGAAATTATTTTTTTCATTGAGCTTTTGTACCCCTGTTTCATTTGGGTAATTCTACTTTTTAAGCAGTTGTTTGTTTTCTTCACTGAATTTTTGTATATCTTTTATTCTCCAATTTTTTTGTGCTTCCTTTAACAAGCTACTGACTCTTTTCTCATTATTCTTTTGCATTGCTCTCATGACTTTTCCCAATTTTTTTCTACCTCTTTTATTTGAGTTTTAAAATACTTTTTTTGGAGGGTAGGCAATTTTTGTGAGACTTGCCCAGGATCACACAGCTAGTGAGTGTCAAGTGTATGAGGTCACATTTGAACTCAGGTCCTCCTGACTCCAAGACCAGTGTTGTATCCAGTGTGCCACCTAGCTGCCCCTTAAAATACTTTTTTGAGTTCTTCCAAGTTCTTCCTTTTTGGGCCTAAGACCAGTTCACATTTTTCTTTAAGGCTTTGAATATAGGCATTCTAAAATTGTTGCCCTCTTCTGAGTTTGTGTTTTGATCTTCCCTGTCACCATAGTAACTTTCTATGGTCATATTCTTTTTGTCTGTTTGTTTGTTTGTTTGTTTTTTGTTTTATTTTGTTTTATTTTTGTTTGTTTTGGTTTTTTGCTCATTTTTTTATGGCCTGTTTCGTGACTTTTATGTTAAAGTTGGGCTCTGCTCCTGTGTTGGAGGGTACCCTTCTCCAATCTTTTTGCCTGGGGCCAAAGGGCCTCAGCACTGGACTATACCAGGGGCTTCACTGAGTCTTGCCACTGCACTGTGCTGGGGTTCAGGACCTGGTTGCTGGCTTGCCCTGACTCTGCCTGTGCTAGACTGTACTCCCCCTTTACCCCAGTGAGACAGATCTTTCTTGCTGACCTTCTAAGTTGTCTTTAACACTGTTAAACCCCATCACTTTTTGGTTCTGCCACTCCAGACTTCATTCTGGGGCATTGTTTTATAATTGTTTTGAGGTGAATTTGGGAAAATTCAGGCACATTCCCTCTGTACTCTGCAATCTTGGCTCACCCCCTTCCTCATTTCCAGGGTAGAAATTTTCAAAACAAAAATCAGCCTGAATATTATTTTTGTTGTTCAGTCACGTCCAACTCTTCATGACCCCATTTGGAGTTTTCTTGGCAGACATATTGGAGTGGTTTTCCATTTCCTTTTCCAGCTCATTTTACAGATGAGGAACTGAGAAAAACAGGGTTAAGTGACTTGCCCTGGGTCATACAGCTAGAGGTACTCCTGACTCCAAGGCTGGTACTCTGTCCACTGTGCCACTGAGCTACTCCAATCAACCGGTTATTTAGCAATCAATCATAGCAACCAATAGTGCTACAAATACAATCACCAGTTACAATGCTGAAGCCAAGGTGTCAATATCTTAAACATGGAAGATTACACACTTTTCTAACCAGCGTGGTCTAGACTTTGTTTTTTATCACAGCCTCACTCAACAGAATTTGCACAGGAATGGGACAATGGAATGGGAGGAAGACAGGTTCCTAGAGAGAAGTATTACTCTGAGAGTGGCAGATGTGGTTTGAAGTTAGGTAATACCTATGCTTTGTGGTAGAAATAAGCAAACAATTACAAAATAGGAGGGGGGATAGGGGAAAACGGAGGATCAGAGGTTTACTTTGGGGAGGGAGGGAGTGTAACTTCCTGGATGCTGACCTTCTGACAAAATTCAGTTATTTCTCCCTGATTATGATTCTGTTCAGTAGGAGACCTAGAAAATATAGCATTGTAGTTGTCTACAAGTATTTAAAAGAATATCATGTAGTACAGTATTAAACTATTTCTATTTGCTCCCAGAAGGCAGCTCTAGGAGTGATGGGTGGAAGCAGAGAGAAGTAAATTTAGACTTAACAGAAAGAATGATTTCCTAACAATTAGAGCTATCTGAAAACGAAATAGGCTGCCTCAGGTGGTAGTGGGATATTATTAATCACATATTATACATATAACTAAGGATTTAGCAGGGACAATCAGATTTTTGAGTGAAAAAAATTCCACTTCAGATATGTATAACAAATACATTAAAATTTATTTTTCATTCTATTTCACATTACACTACATTGATGGAACATTTGGAAAATCTTTCTCTTCCTTTTTCTTTTTGTCTCCAGGTATATTACCAGTTCTTCTAGTCCCAGTTTTGTCACACAGCAAATTGGTTTCTACCATTTATTTTCCCAACTCATTCTATATACTCCCTACAACCATTATACTTACTCTAACACCACCCTTAGTAGAATATCTTGGTTTATTATTTCCATTCTTTTTCCTCCTTCCTCCTTCCCTGTCTCTTTCTTCAAAAGAAATTGGTAAAGAAAAGGAATTAAGAAGTTATCACTAGGAGCAACTTCTCAACCCTCTACTTACCTGACTGGCTGTACAGTTTGAGAGGCAGGTCTTGTTATCAGCTGCAAGGTAAAAGTTGGTGGGGCATGCACAGGTGTATGTCCTGCCAGGGGCTAAGAGACATAGATGGCTACAGCCTCCATTGTTTAGCATACAGACATGTTTAGCAACTGCAGGCAAATAAAAAAAAAACAGTATGATTTAGTATTCAAGACTTGGAAAATTGGTAGGTGGGGGAGGGGGAACAGAACATATTTTAAGGCCCACAAATATTTCAAGGCATCTGGTAATCAAGACCTAGCACCTCAGCAGGGCTAATAATGTAATTTAACTTCTAAAACAAAGCAATACACTGAACAAAAATTGCATTTTATTTTACAATGAAGAAGCTTAAAAGAAAGCACTTGTATTCTAGAGGATTTATATTACATGAAAAAAAAACTTCTGAAACTTACACAGAGCACTACAAGCATTTGGAATGAAGTTTTCAGTATGGTTCTCAGTATAAAAGTAAAATAAAAACAAAAGCATCAATAGTGCATCACTTATCTTTTATATCACTGTAGCTAATTTGCTTATGTAAATGAATTGTTAGTTTTATATAAGAAGGACTTCTATGTAGTGGCTGCTAACGGTCAGTGACTGTGATAAGATTAAGTCAATGCATGATGATTTATATTCCCTAATAGAATGCAATGTTCCTGAATGCAGATATTGTTTCAGGTGTGTGAGTATGTGTGAGAGAGAAAATTCCCAGTGTCTAGGATGGTGCTTTACGTGTAAGAAGCACTTATTAAACATTGGTTGACTTTGATTAAGTTAGGTCTAGAGTTTCTTAAATACCATTAATTCAGAAGATTATGAAAACTCTCACTATTTGTCAGTATAATTGGACTTCTGGTATACTCTCATTTCCTTTGGCAGGCTTGACTTTAGAATAATATCATTTTAACAATCCAATAAGTATTTGGAACATCATTAATTTCTTAAAAGGATTTTCTAATAATCTCACTTACTACAAGCTAAATTCACACATAAAAGCTCTAAATAATGGAAACTTTGGTAATCATTGCTAAAAACTTCATACTTAACCTTTGGCAAAATCAGAAATGAGATGTGGGTAAAAAGTGTTGATGCATTTATGGAAAGCATGGAAAGAATAATTACCATCAGGTTGTCTATAAAAATGATACACCTGGATATCTGTTATGGTATGCCATGAGTTAATCAGGGATAGTCTGTCTGCTCCCGAGGTTTTATGGGCACGGCTGAGTGACTTGGTTTTCCCGTCAGTCCAGTAGATGTAGTCTTCAAACAATGTTAGTGCAATCACCCCTGGAATATCTTGATTAGGGACTGTAACAGGAGATGGTAAGATTAATGTTCGGTCCTGGAAGACTGCCAGTTAAAATATTCAATACTGCATGGGCTGACAGATACAACTGCTACATAACTTCATGTGAATAATTGCCATGACAACCTGTCAGGCCTGTAGGGTTCTTTATTTCTAGTTAAGAGAATGCAGGTTTGGGCACATGATCTTTACTTAGACTTAGCTAGTTCAACTACTAGGAAGAAATGAATGAATTTTTGTTAACAAGTCAACTGTTTCTTCAAACTAAGCAAATAACACTTAAAAGGAATTGTTAGCATTACATATAATGTCTTATACATGCAATTATAGTAAACTACAGGCTAAAAGTCACAATGGGAGGGTTTTATTTTGTTTTGTTTTACATTTTAAAGAAAACAAAATTTCTAAACTGTCAAGGATGAAACATCTACTTGACTGTTAATTGTACCTCTTGAAAGATATATGACTTTGATGCTACTGTATCAATTAACTATAATTTTTCACAAATCATTTTTGGTAAGATGTACTCCAGAAAAATAAACAAACAAAAAAACAGCAACAAAAAACCCCCAACACATTACTTTAAAATAAATACCAAAATACCAGGTTCCTAGTTAAATATTACCTAGAGCAAAATGGATTTTCTTGGATAGCAGTTATAATTGTTTTCACTAAATCCCTGAGAATAGGATAAGTATATACGAATTAAGAGTAGATCTAATACAATGAGCCTTTAAATCATATTGGGAAAGTAAACTATATATTCTTAGAGTTAGAAAAAATGACTAATGAAAACAATTTTAAACAAAAGTTTGTGTTTGGAATTTTCTTTCAGTTCCTGAAGATCTTAAAGCATCAAAATAATGCTGGAAGGGGGTGGACAGGTTAAGGGCCTCAATATTATATAGATTCCCCCGTTTTCTGTTTGTAAATTAATTTTTAAGAAAAAAAAGTAGATCTATAAATTTTACTTCTTGTAAAAGCTCACAGTAATGAAATTTAATGCTATTCAAAGAATGGTGGGTCTTTATTCAATACTCCTTTAGGGAATTACAATTTAGAAAAGAAATTCTAAATCTATGATTAACTCAACTTTCAACCAGCAATTTGCATGAGTATGAATCAATTGTTGAAATAAACAAAAGAAAATATGTTTGGATAGTGAACCAAAGGTAAGTACAGCTTAAAAATAAATGTATCTGGTAAGGAAAAAAAAATCTTATTTCAGAAGTATTCATGCTTTCCATTATTTATATTTTAATGACTGTACAATAAAGTAGTGGCATATTCCTCACTCTATAATGACTTAAGGACTGTCAAAATTTCATATATATGCCATGATTGCTAGGGTGTCTTCTAGCCTTTGGGGAAAAAAATCACTCAGAGAATTTACATTGTCAACTGAGGAGCAGGCATTTACAAATCTGCTGATTTATGATTTTCACTCAGATGAGTTAGAGCTGTTTAGAGAATTTGTGGTAGGTAGCTTATGGTTATCACTATTCACGTAGGACCCAATCAGAACTCAAAAGCAAAAGGGGTATTACAAACAGATAGTGTGCATTTCAGGGGTTAAAAAAAAATGAAGAAGCATGTAGGTTGTATACTTTCAATGTCCCCAAGTGTAAGTCCAAGCAAACCTTAATGAAATGTATCATAGTGCAAAGAGTTCCTTATATTTGAATGAAAACATAGGAAAGTTGTAGGTATCATGGATGAAAAGGAGTCTCAGATCTTTTGGATGACCTAGGACTAGCGAGTGAGTGGTGCTGATGTTTTATGAATGGTTCTGTAATTTTGTTCTTTGGGGTATAGTTTCTGATATGAAAATTGGGATACTTGCATAGAAACTCACCATTGAAGCAGATTAGCAACTAACTCATTTGTAATTCACAGTCATATACAATTGTCTGGGGTACTGAAAATTCTGGCCCATGGTTACACAGCCATTGTGTGTCAGAGCAGGCCCTAAACCAATTGCTTCCCATCTCCAAGTCTGGCCCTCCATACATTGTCCTGGGCCTGAAACACTCAGGCTTTCATGTCAACTATTCCTTTTGACTGTACAATAAAGTGAACAGTCACCTGAAATTAGGCTTATTCCCAAACAAAATGAGAAAGAATTGCAAGGCTTTACATTAGGTAACATTATAAAAAAGGAAATATTATGACAGAAAAAATATTTTTTAACTATCAAAAAGGAAAATCAACTAATTTTGTAAAAAAAAATACTATAAAGTAAAGCAACTGATTTGATAGGCTATTTAAAAAAAATCAGGGTCATTATTTTGGGTAATAAATAATGTTTAAACTACTTAGCCTGATACACAAATTCCTCCACAACCTGCTACATTGTCCCCTACCCTCCTGTCTTCCCATCTTCTCCACCCTAATTTCATACTATTCTCTTCCAACCAATCTAAGCTGCTATAAGTGATCAGGAATATCTGAGTTCAAATTTGACATCAGATACCTACTAGCTGTGTGACCCTGGGCAAGTCACTTCACCCTGTTGGCCTCAGTTTCCAAATGAGCTAGAGAAGGAAATGGCAAACCACTCCAGTATTTTTGTCAAGAAAACCCCAAATGGGGTCATGAAGAGTCAGACACAATTGAAATGACTTAACAAGCTCCTGTAAAACCAGCCTATGTGGAAAACATTTTCTCCTACCTTTACCATTGTCTAAATCATTCATCTCGCATGGGATGCTTTCCAACTGATAGCATGTTGTAAAGCTTCTCAAATCTGATCCACCCAGGTCAAATGCCACCTCTTACATGAAATCTTCCCCTCTTGATAAATATAATCTTTCCTTTCCCCAATCTTGTATTTGTATCTTTACTGTGTATCTATCTTAGTGCTCTGATTGTAGTCTTGTCTGCACTATAACATATTTACTGTATAGTATCACCTATTTCTGCATGTTACACATGTTCCTTGATATACTGAAAGCTCCAGAATGGCTGGAATTATGTCATATTTATTCTTGTGTTTTTTCCGGCAACTTAGCGTAATGTTTTCCACATACTAGAAATTGAATAAATGGTTTTCAATGGAAGGAACATAGCAACACCTCCTATATGACTTTTAGAGATTAAGTCCTAGACAAGAATGTTATCTCCAATGCTTGTCATAGGAGTGATAATAATGATGACAGCCCACATTTATATACTGCTTAAAGAAATGCTTTCCTCACAACAGTGCAGTGGAAACAGTTTCAATATCATGAGACCTGAGGTGGAATCCAGGTCTGCTTTTTACTAATCATGCAACTTTAAGTAAATTCTTTAACCTTCTGGGGCTTCATTTTGTTCATCTATGAAATGAGAACGTTGGATTGGAGGAGCTCTAACATTTTCTCTAGTTCTATGATCCTATGACGTAATGCCAGTATCTCTTTGAGGAAGGAAGTATAAGCATTAGGAATCCCTATTTCAGAGATGAGGAAACTGATGATAAGGGAAGTTTTATTGTTTTTCAGTCCTTTTAATACTATCTAACTTGGTGACCCCATTTGGGGTTTTCTTGGCAAAGATACTTAAGAGGCTTGCCTTTTACTTCTCTAGCCTGTTTTGTAAATGAGGAAATGGGGACAAATAAGGTTAAGTGACTTGCCCAGGGTCACACAGGTGATAAGTATTTGAGGCCAGATTTAAACTCAGGAAGATGAATCTTCCTAACCAGGCCTGGCACTCTATCTGCTGCATCACCTAACTGGTCCATGCGGTAGCTTACTAAGGTTATATGGCAAGTAAGTATCATTGTCAATACTCATGTTATTTGTGTGTTTATTTGTTTTGTTTCTTTTTCCTCTCAATTGTACAACCTTGCCTCTCATATAAGAAACACATTGGAATTTAATCAAAATGAACTTATTATCTTCACGAAAAATTCATGCTTAACTTAAAATAAAGACAGCTCTGAAATGTACATATCCTCTCTATAAGGTCAACATCTTCAAAAAGAATGAAAGGAATGAGTGGCCATCTGCTTGACTCAATTCATTGCTTTCTGTTGGCAGTGAAGGCCAGCCTTGTCTTGAGCAGTTTTTCAAACTTTTAGCTTCTCTGCTCATTTTCCATTTTGTATAAATCCTGGCTTTTTCAATGGCATCAAACATAAGTACTACCCAGAAAATAATTTCTTCTGGGAGAAAGACAAAATCAGATGCAAATTTCCATTAAGAACCACTGCAAATGTACATCTAAAAGGTTAGATATATCAAACAATATGCAAACTCAAACAAGAGAGGTATCCAAGGTGTTGCATGGAATTTAATTAGTAGAATAGGCAAGGAGAGTGGGAGGGTTTGGGGGGAAATTACTAGTTGATTTTTATTTTGGCTTGAGCTCAAGTCAATTTTAAAAAATCACTACATGCTTCATTTCTTGTTTATCTCTATCTAGATTGCCAATTCCCACAATGGAGGTGGTCTATCTATCTGCTTAGGACTCTATGGAGTAATTGCTAAATAATTATTATAAATAAATGCTGTGTGTTTATTAATTCATCCATGTACCAAATATGAATTCTATCTATAGTATAAACTGCCCTTAGGATGTTGAAAATCAGTCAGAAATTATCCTAAGCCAAAAACTCATATGCCTGTACACCAGGATCTCTCCTTGGGAGACCAACGTGCAGGAAAACAGTCTGATACAGAGTATGACAAATGTAGCTTTTGCCTTTGGGAGTTGCTGAAAAAGATCCATGGGAAACAGCTTCTATTTCTAATGAAATGTAGCAGTGTGAAAAGTTAGAGTTTGGGCAATTATGTCGAAAAAAATTAATTTGCTAGGCAGTGGGAGGCAGCAAAAAGAAACACATAAGGAAAGTGAGTTTCAGTGGGAGATGTGCAGTGAACATCAAGAAACCTCATGGATGTTGAATTTCAGTGGATCTTAGAAAAAATAAGACAGAGTAACTGCAAAAACATGATGTCTCTGCTTTACAAAAGTAAAATCTGGAACATAAGCTGACTAATTAATAAAGAACTGTGAA